ACCTGGGCTGGGGATCTCACCTGAGGGTCTCTCTCACCTGTCTTATCTGGGGGAGTCTCACCTAGGGAGTCTCACCTGTCTTATCTGGGGGGTCTCACCTTTGTGGGGGGTTCTCACCCTCATTTGTGGGGTCTCTCCTTTCTAACCTGGGGGTCTCACCTTGGGGGGGTCTCACCTTGTGAGGGGGTCTCACCCGTCCCTCCCCAGCGCATCTCAGGTGCCGAATTCCCGAGCGGGCCCGATTTTTGGGTGGTCCCTGAGCGGGGGCCGCGACCTGAGCGGGGATCGACTGCCAGACCTGGCCGTGGGGGCGCGGGGGCAGGTGCTGCTGCTCAGGTGGGACCCCAAAAGCCTCCCTGGGGACCCCAAAAGCCTCCACGGGGACCCCAAAAACCTCCTCGGGCACCCCAAAAACCTCCTCGGACACCCCAAAAACCTCCTCGGGCACCCCAAAAACCCCAAAACCCACTGGGACCCCAAAAATCACTTCAGGACCCCAAAAACCTCCTCAGGCACCCCAAAAACCTGCCTGGGACCCCAAAATCCTCCACGGGGACCCCAAAATCTCATTGGGGGACCCCAAAAACCTCCCTGGGCACCCCAAAAACCCCAAAACCTCACTGGGACCCCAAAAACCTCGGGCACCCCAAAAACCTCCCCGGGCACCCCAAAAACCCCAAAACCTCACTGGGATCCCAAAAACCTCCCTGGGCACCCCAAAAACCTCCTCAGGCACCCCAAAAACCCCAAAACCTCACTGGGACCCCAAAACCTCCTTGGGACCCCAAATCCCCTCTAATCTCCCCCAGACCCCCGGGGTGACCCCCAAACCCCTAAACCCCCTGGAGTGACCCCAAATCCCCTCAAACCCCTCGGGGTGACCCCAAATCCCTAAATCCCCCAACCCCCTTGGGGTGACCCCAAATCCCCTAAACCCCCGGGGTGACCCCAAATCCCCCAAACCCCCGAGGGTGACCCCAAATCCCAAATCCCCAAACCCCCGAGTTACCCAAACCCCCAGAGTGACCCCAAATCCCCCAAATCCCCCAAATCCCCTAAACCCCCGGGTGATTCAAATCCCAAAATTCCCCCTAAACCCCCAGGGTGACCCAAATCCCAAACCCCCGGGGTGACCCCAAACCCCAGGGCGCCCCCTGCTGCGGGTTCGGGTGGGGGTCTCGTTCGACCCCGGTGGTCCCGGCGGCGCCTTCGAGTGCCCCGAGGAGGGAGAGCTGAGGGACCCTCGGCACTCACCCGCGTCTGCATCAGGGGCTCCAAACGCACCCCGGCGGCCGGTGAGACCCCAAAACACCCCCGGACCCCAAAATCTGCCAGGACCCCAAAATAGCCCTCAGACCCCCAGAACCCCCGACGAGCTTCGGTGAGACCCCAAAAACACCCCGGACCCCAAAAAACAGCCCAGGGACCCCAAAAATCCCCCTGAGACCCCCAAAATCCCCTGGATCCTCCAAACGCACTCCCGACGGCTTCGGTGAGACCCCAAAACACCCAGGACCCCAAAAAACAGCCCAGGGACCCCAAAAACCACCCGGGACCCCAAAAATCCACCCAGGACCCCAAAAAACAGCCCAGGGACCCCAAAAACCTTCTCGGGACCCCAAATCCACCCGGGACCCCAAAAACAGCCCGGGACCCCAAAACCCACCCGGGACCCCCAAAACCCCGAGCGGCCGGTGAGACCCCAAAACACCCACAGGACCCCAAAATCCACCCTGGGACCCCAAAATCACCCGGGACCCCAAATACCCCCAAATCCCCCAGCCCCCTCAAATCCCCCAAATCCCCTCTAACCCCCCAAATCCCTCTCAAACCCCCATAAATCCCCCATAAATCCGATTTTACCCCCCAAATCCTTTTTCTCCCCGAGGCTCTGAGATCTGGTCCCAGCTCTGGTTCCAGGCCGAGCTGGACCCTCTCCCCAAATCCCCATAAATCTCCCATAAATCCCCCCAAACCCCCCAAACCCCCATAAATCCCATTTTGTCCCCCAAATCCCATTTTCCCCCAGGTTCCTAGGTGTGGTCCCAGGTGTGGTTCCAGGCTGAACTGGACCCCTCCCCCAAATCCCCAAATCCCCACAAAATCCCCCAACCCCCCAAATCCCCCAAACCCCATAAATCCCCAAATCCCCCATAAATCCCATTTTACCCCCAAATCCCATTTTCTCCCCAGGCTCCCAGATCTGGTCCCAGCTGTGGTTCCAGGCCGAGGCTGGACCCCTCCCCCAAATCCCCCAAATCCCCCAAAATCCCCCAACCCCCAAATCCCCCAAACCCCATAAATCCCATTTTTGTCCCCCAAATCCCTTTTTCCCCCAGGCTCTGAGATCTGGTCCCAGCTGTGGTTCCAGGCCGAGCTGGACCCCTCCTAAATCCCCCAAACCCCCATAAATCCCCACAAACCCCCATAAATCCCTTTTGCCCCCCAAATCCCATTTTCCCCCAGGCTCTGAGATCTGGTCCCAGCTGTGGTTCCAGGCTGAACTGGACCCCTCCCCCAAATCCCCTCAAACCCCATAAATCCCCCAAACCCCCATAAATCCCCCAAATCCCCCAAACCCCATAAATCCCCATAAATCCCTTTTTTCCCCCAGGCTCCGAGGTGTGGTCCCAGGTGTGGTTCCAGGCCAGAGCTGGACCCCTCCCCCAAATCCCCCAAATCCCCCAAACCTCCCCAATCACCATAAATCCCCCAGACCCCATAAATCCCCCAAACCCCCATAAATCCCATTTTTCCCCCAGGCTCTGAGATCTGGTCCCAGCTGTGGTTCCAGGCTGAACTGGACCCCTCCCGCCTGCAGGGGCCGGGAGTCTTCCCGGACAGGGCCGCGGCCAAAAACGGGACCCTGCGGGTGGGGGTGGGGCGGCAGTGCCAGGACCTGCAGATCAACTTCAAGGTTTGGGGATTTGGGGGGTTTGGGGGTTTTGAGAGGTTTGGAAGAGGGATTTCGGAGAGATGTAGGGGATTTGAGGAGAGAGCGGCAGTGCCAGGACCTCCAGATCAACTTCAAGGTTTGGGGGGTTTGAGGAGGATTTAGGGGATTTGGGGAGGAGTGGGGGGTTGGAGGGGATTTGAGGGAGTTGAGGGGGGTTGGAGGGTTGAGGGGGTTTGGGGTGGGGGTTGGGGGATTTGAGGAGGATTGGGGGTTAGAGGGGTTTTGGGGGATTTGAGGAGGCGGCAGTGCCAGGACCTCCAGATCAACTTCAAGGTTTGGGGGTTTGGGGGATTTGAGGGGATTTAGGGGTTTGGAGGGATTTGGGAGGGTTTAGGGGTTTTGGGGGATTTGGGAGGATTGGGGGGTTTGGAGGATTTGTGGGGATTTGAGGGGATTTGGGGTCTTAGGGGGATTTGAGGGGGATTTGGGGGATTTGGGAGGATTTGAGGAGGGGCGGCAGCGCCAGGACCTCCAGATCAACTTCAAGGTTTGGGGGGATTTGGGGGGATTTAGGGGGATTTGAGGGGATTTGGGGGGTTTGGGGGATTTGAGGGGATTTCAGGGGGTTTGGGAGGGGCACGATTTTGGGGTATTTTTGGGTTTTTGGGGTATTTTGGGGATATTTTGGTGTTTTGGGGGTCCCATCAGTGCTGTTTTTTGGGGGGATCCCAGGAGTGCCCCGGGCCACGCTGACCCCGCTGGTGCTGAGGAGGTGACCCGGGGGGAGAGGGCAGGGTTTTGGGGTATTTTTGGGTATTTTGGGGTTTTTTGGGGTGTTTTTTGGGTATTTTGGGGGTATTTTTGGTGTTTTTGGGGTCTCTCATCCCGTTTTTTTTTTGGGGGGGGTCTCAGGAGTGCCCCAGGCCACACTGACCCCGCTGGTGCTGAGGAGTGACCCTGGGGGAGGGGCAGGATTTTTTGGGAGTATTTTTGGGTATTTTGGGTATTTTGGTGTATTTTTTGTGTTTTTGGGGTCCCATCAGTGCTGTTTTTTTTTTGGGGGGGTCCCAGGAGTGCCCCAGGGACACGCTGACCCTGCTGGTGCTGAGGGTGACCCTGGGGGGGGGAGGGGCAGGGTTTTTGGGATATTTTGGGATATTTTGGGATATTTTGGTGTATTTTTGGTGGTTTTGGGGTCTCCCATCCCGGTTTTTTTGGGGGGTCCCAGGAGTGCCCCAGGCCACACTGACCCGCTGGTGCTGAGGTGACCCTGGGGGAGGGCAAGTTTTTGGGGTAATTTTGGGATATTTTGGGATATTTTGGTGTATTTTTGGTGTTTTTGGGGTCTCCCATCCCGGTTTTTTTTGGGGGGGGGTCTCAGGAGTGCCCCCGGGACACGCTGACCCCGCTGGTGCTGAGGGTGACCCTGGGGGGGAGGGGCAGGATTTTTGGGGTATTTTTGGGTATTTTGGGGTTTTTTGGGGTGTTTTTTGGGTATTTTGGGGGTATTTTTGGTGTTTTTGGGGTCTCCCATGCCCGGTTTTTTTGGGGGGTCCCAGGAGTGCCCCAGGACACGCTGACCCCGCTGGTGCTGAGGTGACCCTGGGGGGAGGGCAGGATTTTTGGGGTGTTTTTGGGGTAATTTTGGGATATTTTGGGTATTTTGATGTATTTTTGGTGTTTTTGGGGTCTCCCATCCCAATTTTTTTTTGGGGGGGGTCCCAGGAGTGCCCCCGGGACACGCTGACCCCGCTGGTGCTGAGGGTGACCCTGGGGGGAGGGCAGGATTTTTTGGGGTATTTTTGGGTATTTTGGGGGTATTTTGGGGGTATTTTGGGTATTTTGGTGTATTTTTGGTGTTTTTGAGGGTCCCATCAGTGCTGTTTTTGTGGGGGTCCCAGGAGTGCCTAGGACACGCTGACCCCGCTGGTGCTGAGGGTGACCCTGGGGGGGAGGGGCAGGTTATTTTTGGGATAATTTTGGGATATTTTGGGATATTTTTGGTGTTTTGGGTCTCCCATGCCGGGTTTTTTTGGGGGGTCCCAGGAGTGCCCCAGGACACGCTGGCCCCGCTGGTGCTGAGGTGACCCTGGGGGCAGGGGACCCCTGGTCGTGGCTGAGGGCTTCGACCCCAGCTCAGCCCCGACTCCGACAGCGCCGTCACCGCCACGGTGAGAGGAAAATTGGGGAGGGGGCACAAATTTGAGGGGGGACTCAAGTTGGGGGTTGGGGAGCCTCAAATTGGGGGCACAGAGTGGGAGGGGCACAAATTTGGGGGGCACAAATTGAGAGGCACCCAAGGGTGGGAGGGTAAGAATTGGGGGGTACAAATTGGGGGGTTGGGGGGACACAGATCGGGGAGGCTACAAATTGAGGGGTTGGGAGGGCACAAATTTAGGGGTTGGGGCAAAAGTTGGGGAGGGGCACAAATTGGAGGCAAAAATTGTGGTTGAAGGGGCACAAATTGGGGGTCAGGGGGCACAAATTGGGGGGGTAACAAATTGGGGGGACACAAGTGTGGGGGGCACAAATTGGGGGGGCACAAATTGGGAGGCACAAATTTGGGGGTCGGGGGCACAAATTGGGGGGTTGGGGGCAACAAGATTGGGGGGCACAGAATTGGGGTATTGGGGGGCACCCAGGGTGGGGGGGGTAACAAATTGGGGTGGGAGGTGGAAATGGGAGTGGGAGGGTCCCAGAAATTATCAGGGAGGTCTCACCCGCTTTTGACCCAAAAACCCCAAAGCTGCCGTTCGAGAGGGATTGCGGAGCCGACAACGTCTGCGAGGGACGAGCTCAGAGCAGCCTTCAACTTCTCAGGGTGAGCCAGGGACCCCAAAAACCCCCAAAACCCCCAAAAACAACCCTGACCCTCCTGGCCCCCGACCCCCTGAGCCCCCTGACCCCCAAGCTGAGGATGGGGAGGGGGAGGAGCTCAGAGCAGCCTTCAACTTCTCAGGGTCAGCCAGGGACCCCAAAAACACCCCAAAAACCCCAAAAACAACCCCTGACCCCCAAACCCCCAAGCTGGGGATGGGGGAGTGGGGGGAGGAGCTCAGAGCAGCCTTCAATTTCTCGAGGTGCGCCAGGGACACCCAAAACCCCCAAAACCCCCAAAAACAACCTGACCCCCGACCCCCCAAACCCCCTGGGCCCCTGGCCTCTCCTGAACTCCCCTAGGCCCCCAGGCTGAGGGTGGGGGAGTGGGGAGGAGCTCAGAGCAGCCTTCAACTTCTCGGGGTGAGCCAGGACCCCAAACCCCCAAAAACCCCCAAAAACAATCCCCTGACCCCTCCTGAACCCTCCTGACCCCCTTACTCCCCCAGACCCCCTGGCCCCCAGGCCCCCAAGCTGGGGGTGGGGTGGGGAGGAGCTCAAAGCAGCCTTTGACTCCTCAGGACCCCAAAACCCCAAAAACCCCCAAAAACAACCCCTGAACCCCCCGGCCCCCGACCCCCCGACCCCCCGACCCCCTCGGCCCCCTGACCCCCTGAGCCCCCAGGCTGGGGGTGGAGTGGGGGAAGAGCTCAGAGCAGCCTTCAACTTCTCGGGGTGAGCCAGGGACCCCAAAACCCCCAAAAACAGCCCCTTGATCCCTCCTGACCACCCTAGGCCCCCTGGCCCCCTGACCCCCTGACCCCCCCGACCCCCTGGGCCCCAGGCTGAGGGTGGGGGTGGGAGAGGAGCTCAGAGCAGCCTTCAACTTCTCGGGGTGAGCCAGGGACCCCAAAAACCCCAAAAACAACCCCTGACCCCCCGACCCCCAAACCCCCTTACCCCCAGACCCCCTGACCCCCTGGCCCCCAGACCCCCAAACTGGGGATGGCGGATGGGGAGGAGCTCAGAGCAGCCTTCAACTTCTCGGGGTGAGCCAGGGACCCCCAAAAACACCCCAAAAACCCCCCAAAAACAACCCCTGACCCCCTGACCCCCTGACCCCCTGACCCCCTGAGCCCCCAGGCTGGGGGTGGGGGGTGGGGAGGAGCTCAGAGCAGCCTTCAACTTCTCGGGGTGAGCCAGGGACCCCAAAACCCCCAAAAACAACCCCTGACCCCCCGAGCCCCTAAACCCCCTGAGGCCCCCTGACCCCCTGACCCCCCTGAGCCCCCAGGCTGGGGGTGGGGGTGGGGAGGAGCTCAGAGCCACCTCGACTCCTCAGGACCCCCAAAAACCCCCGAAACCCCAAAAAATCCCAAAACCTCCCCAAAACCCCCTCAGGAGGGTCCCCGGCTGTGTGTGACCCCCGGCCCCCAGGCTGCAGACGCTGCTGGTGGGGGTGGGGCACCCTGGAGCTGACGGTGACCTTTGGGAACCTCGCGAGAGCTCCTCGGGGCCACCCTGGTTTTGGGGCACCCCCAGCCTCTCCTACAGGAAGGTGGGAGGTCCTGCAGGTACAACCCCCTCCCCCAAAAAGCCCCACCCCACCCCTTCCCACACACAGAACCTCCCTGGGACCCCCAAAATCCTGGGGACCTCCGGATCACCAAAACCCCTCAGGAGCCCCCAGAACCTCCCTGGGACCCCCAAAATCTCACAGAGACCCTCCCAGAATCTCTCAAACCCCCAAAACTCCCTCAGGAAGCCCCAAAACCCCCTTAGGACCCCCAGACCCTCCCAGACCCCCAAAATCCCGAGGATCTCCCAGATCACCAAAACCCCTTTAGGACCCCCGACCTCCAGGAGCCCCAAAACCCCCAGGAACCCCAGAACCTCCCCAGGACCCCCAAAATCCCGCCGGGACCCCAGACTTCCCAAAATCCTGGGGATCTCCAGGACCCTCAAAACTTCAGAAACCCTAAAATCCCATAGGGAGCCCAAAACCCCCAGGACCCCCAAAATCCCCAGGACCCCAGACCCTCCCAGACCCTCCCCAAAATCCTGTGGGATCTCAGGACCCCTCAAAGACCCCCCTGGGACCCCCAGACTTCCAGAAACCCCTAAAATCCCATAGGGAGCCCCAAAACCCCAGGACCCCCAGATCTCCAGGACCTCCCCCAGAATCTCCTGGGACCCCAAAAATCCTGGGGGATCTCCTGGATCCCCAAAAATCCCATAGGGACCCCAGAATCTCCTGGGACCCCAAAATCCCCTAAAATCCCATAGGGTCTCCTGGATCCCCAAAAATCCCATAGGGACCCCAGATCTCCAGGACCCCCCTCCCAGAATCTCCTAGGACCCCCAGATCTCTCTGTGGACCCCCAGACCTCCAGAACCTCCCAACCCCCTCCCCGGGACCCCCTCAGACCCCCTGGGAACCCCAAAACCCCCTTGGGGACTCCTCAGACCTTCCTGGGACCCCAAAGCCCCCAGGACCCCCAGATCTCTCGGGACCCCCAGACCCCCAAAATCCTGTGGGATTTCCAGGATCCCAAAAATCCTGTAGGGAACCCCAGACTTGTCCGAGACCCCCAAAATCCCCATAAGGGACCCCTCAGATCTCTCCAGGACCTCCCCCAGACCTCCCGAACCCCCAAAACCCCCTTGGGACCTTCCAGACCCCCAGATGTCCCAGACCCCCAAAATCCCCGGGATCTCCAGGACCCCCAAACCTCCCCCAAAATTCCCTCAAGAACCCCCAAAAATTCCCCTCCCCCATGACCCCAAACCCCACCTGAAGACCCCAAAATCCCCCCCACCTCAAATTCCACCTGGACCCCCAAAAACCCCACCAGCCCCCGACCCCCTAAATTTGTGTTGACCCCCAAATTTTGTGACCCCCCAAATCTGTCCCCCCCAGACCCCAAACCCCACCTGAAGCCCCCTGACCCCCCCAATTCCTGTGACCCCCCCAAATTCCCGTGACCCCCAAATTTATGTGACCCCCAAATCTGTCCCCCAGACCCCAGGCCCCACCTGAAACCCCCTGACCCCCAAATTTTGTGGCCCCCAAATTCCTGTTGACGCCCCCAAATTTTGTGACCCCCAAATTCCTGTGACCCCCAAATTCCTGTGACCCTCCCCAAATCTGTCCCCCAAACCCCACCTGAAGCCCCCTGACCCCCCAAATTCCTGTGACCCCCAAATTCCTGTGCCCCCCCAACCTGCCCCAACTAGAAGCCCCCAGACCCCCCAAAATTCCTGTGACCCCCCAAATTCCCAGTGCCCCCCAATTCTTTCCTCCCCAGACCCCAGACCCCACCTAAAGCCCCCAGACCCCCAAATTCCTGTGACCCCCAAGTTCCCGTGACCCCCAAATTCCTGTGACCCCCAAATTCCCGTGACCCCAAATTTTGTGACCCCCAAATTCCTGTGACCCCCAAATTCCTGTGCCCCCCAAGTTCCCGTGACCCCCAAATTCCGTTACCCCCAAATTCCTGTGACCCCCAAAAATTCCTGTTGACCCCCCAAATTTTGTGACCCCCCAAATCTGTCCCCCAAGCCCCACCTGAAGCCCCCCAGACCCCCAAATTCATGACGCCCCCAAATTCCTGTGACCCCCAAATTTGTGTGACCCCCAAATTCCCGTGACCCCCCAAATTCCCATGACCCCCAAATTCCCGTGCCCCCCCACGTGCCTCCCCGCAGCGCCGGCGCCGCTCGGGGGGCTCCGTCCGGTGCCACTCGGAGCCCCGCGAGGAGGGGCAGGAGGAGCCTCTGCCTCGTCAACCACCCCGTGATGAGACCCGGGAGCAGGTGGGGACACCTGGGGGGTTGGGGACACACCTGGGGGCACCTGGAGACATCTGGGGGGACACTGGAGGCACCTGGGAGGTGGGGACACCTGAGGGGGCACCTGGGGGTGCTGGGAAAGTGAGGGACACCTGGGGGTGGGACACACCTGGGGACACCTGGGGATACTTGGGCACCTGGGGAGTAGGGGACACCTGGGGGGGCACCTGGGGGGACCTGTGGGGCACCTGGGGACACCTGGGGGTGTAGGGGACACACCTGGGGGACCTGTGGGCACCTGGGGACACCTGGGGGTGGGGACACCTGGGGGACCTGTGGGGCACCTGGGGACACCTGGGGAGTGGGGACACACCTGGGGAGACCTGTGGGGCACCTGGGGACACCTGGGAGGTGGGGACACACCTGGGGGACCTGTGGGGCACCTGGGGACACCTGGGGGATTGGGGACACACCTGGGGACACCTGGGGGCACCTGGGGGTGGGGACACACCTGGGGGTGGGAGACACCTGGGGGGCCACCTGGGGGCACCTGGGGGTGGGGACACACCTGGGGGGGTTGGGACACACCTGGGGGTTGGGACACACCTGGGGGACACCTGGGGGGTGGGGACACCTGGGGGCATCTGGGTCACCTGTGACACCTGGGGGTAGGGACACACCTGGGGGCACCTGGGGGGCACCTGAGGGGGTCTGGGGGACTAGGACACACCTGGGGGGACACCTGGGGGGCACCTGGGGGCATCTGGGGGGCACCTGGGGGGTGGGGACACACCTGGGGGACACCTTGGGGGGCACTTGGGGACACGTGGGGACACCTGGGGGGGTGGGGACACACCTGGGGACACCTGGGGGACATCTGCCACTTGTGTCACACCTGTGCCACACCTGTGTCACTTGAGTGTCACCTCCTGTGTGCCCTGGGACACACCTGAGCTCTTGGGGACACTGGGGACACACCTGGGGACACGTGGGGACACCTGTGGGTTGTGTCACCTGAAAGCCACCTGTGCCACACCTGTGCCACCTGTGCCAGCTGTGTCACCTGAGTGTCCCCTCCTGTGTCCCTTTGGGACACACCTGAGCTCTTGGGGACATTGGGGACACACCCGGGGACACCTGGGGACACCTGGGGGTTGTGTCACCTGTGCCACACCTGTGTCACCTGAGTGTCCCCTCCCCCCCCCAGGTGGTGTTCAGGGTCACCCTGGACGTGCCCCCCGACGCCGAGCTCGGGGACACCCTGGAGGTGACGGCCAATGTCACCAGGTCGGGGATTTGGGGGGATTTGGGGGGGATTTGGGGACATTGGGGGGATTTGGGGACATTGGGGGATTTGGGGACACTGGGGGATTTGGGGACATTGGGGGATTTGGGGACATTGGGGGGATTTGGGGACACTGAGGTGATCGGGGACATCTGGTGGATTTGGGGACATTGAGGAGTTTGGGGACATTTTGGGAGGGATTTGGGGACATTGGGGGATTTGGGGACATTGGAGGGGGATTTGGGGACATTGGGGGGATTTGGGGACATTGGGGAGATTTGGGGACATTTGGGGGACATTGGGGGGATTTGGGGACATTTGGGGGGATTTGGGGACATTTGGGAGGGATTTGGGGACATTGGGGGGATTTGGGGACATTAGGGGATTTGGGGACATTGGGAGGATTTGGGGGATTTGAAGGGGAGCATTGGAGGATTTTGGGGACATTGAGGAGGATTTGGGGACATTGGGCGGGACCCTGGGCGGGCCCCCGGCGCCCGAGGGACGTGGCAGGATTTGGGGACACCCTGGGGGGGATCTGGCCACATGTCGGCCGGGATTCGAGGGACGCCCTGGAGGTCGCACGGCTAATGGCGACCAGGTCAGGGGATTTGGGAGGACACTGGGGAGGGATTTGGGGACACTGAGGGTTTGGGGACACTGGGGGGGATTTGGGGACATTTGGGGGATTTGGGGACATTTTGGGGGATTTGGGGACACTTGGGGGGATTTGGAGGTTACCAGGTTGAGGGATTTGGGGACATTGGGGGATTTGGGGACATTTTGGGGGGATTTGGGGACATTGGGGGATTTGGGGACATTGGGGGATTTGGGACATTGGGGGATTTGGGGACATTTGGGGGGATTTGGGGACATTTGGGGACATTGGGGATTTGGGGACATTTGGGGGATTTGGGGACATTTGGGGGATTTGGGGACATTGGGGGATTTGGGGACATTTAGAGGGATTTGGGGACATTGGGGGATTTGGGGGACTTTAGGGGACATTTGGGGATTTGGGGACATTGGGGGATTTGGGGACATTTGGGAGGGATTTGGGGGCTTTGGGGGTTTGGGAGGACATTGGGGGGGATTTGGGGACATTTGGGGGGATTTGGGGACATTTTGGGGGGATTTGGGATGGAGACCCTGGAGGACACTGGCTAACTGGTCACTCGGAGGATTTGGGGGACATTGGGGGGATTTGGGGACATCTGGGAGGATTTGGGGACTGGGGGACTTGGGACATGGGGGATTTAGGGGACATTGGGGAACTTGGGACATTGGGATTTGGGGGTGGGGTGACATTGGGGGCATTTGGGGACATTTGGGAGGGATTTGGGGACACCTGAGGTCATGGCCAACGTCACCAGGTCAGGAATTTGGGGACATTGGGGGATTTGGGGACATTGGGGATTTGGGG